CTTGCAAGTCTGAGGCAGGAGGATCACTACAAGTTCAAAACCCAAATGGGCTGCATAGTGAGTTGAAGGACAGACTGAATTATAAAGTGAGACACTGTCTCAAAAAAAAGTCTTAAAATTTGTTCTCAACTGTTTAAAACTGTAAATTCTTATTATTTAAATAATCTCAATGCCCATCAATGTAGGATATTATTCAGTCTTTGACATGGGGGACATGATGCAAAGTGAAATAAACCAGTCATGAAAAAGGCAAATATCGTATAAGCCCTCTTAAATGTTAAGTTCACAGAAACAAAAGTAGACAGAGGTTAACCAGGAGCCGGGGTTGGGGGGAGGAAGTATGAGAAATCCATTCTGGAGATCAATTTCACAATAAAGTGAATAAACTTAATGATACACTTGAAGATAGTCAACAGGGTATACTGGGCTATTTTCTAAAACAATAGCTAAAAAGTAAATTCTTTATCCTAAAGCCATATAGAAACAGCAAACAGATCTGTGGGCTACAGCTGTGCCAAGGCTGACCCACAGGTGACCAATCTGAGGGCCAAAAAGGTGGTCCAGGCCCCTGCTTCTCAAATAGCTCGCAGGAAAGACCCCCTCACAGCACACAGGCGGCAACACCCATTTCCAGAGGCATCACCCAACAAGTCTGCAAAATTCTTTTAAATACTCCTTTAAATGAAATTCGTGAACATTTTTAAAACCCTAGCCCATACATGTTGTTTTAATGTAAAGTTGGCATTCATTGTAAAAATCAGTAAAGACTAAAGCTTGCTCAGGCTCAGTGCGGGTGAATAACTCAGTCAAGGCCACAGGGCGAGAGCAAGGCAGGTGTGGGACTGGATCCTGACATTCCTGGTCCCACATGTGCACTCTCCCCAGCCCTGACCCCTGCCCAGCCCACGGTACTGACACAGTCACACTTTCGAGGTCCTAACCCTGAGTCATCAGCTCATACGGTTTGAATATTATTTCTTTGTTCTAGAATGTTTTTATTTTATTCTAAAACCCATTTTCTTCTCCGACTCTAACTACGCTTTCTGGTCGTATCTGTAATTTTCCATAATGGGGCAGCGGATCATATGACTGTAGTGTTGTTCAGCATTCTCCTTTCCCTGCCTGGACTGGAGACTCAGTCTCAATGCTTTGCTCTCCCAGTGCAATGTGAGCAGAAGCGAGAGCACGCTAGCCCCAAGCAAAGGTGTTAATGGGCAGCCCGTGTTATTAGACGCCACTTTCCCCTCTTAAGCTCTTTATCCGTCCAGAGAACCACATGTCCCCAGCAGTCGTTCCTGTAGCCTGCGGCCCACAATGAGAAGGTGGGAGGCAGCCGCACACTCAGCCTGCAGACCGAGGCCAAGCCCAGCCTCGCTGGATGCGTGTGTCTCTGCTTCAACCAAAATTCACCAAGAAAAGGTGCAAGACAAAGAGAGAGGCTTTATCTGAAAAGCAAAACAAAAAAAAAGTTTGCAAACTGGGAGGCATAGCCTTTGATACAAAACGAAAGTGCGTGCATAAAAGAAACAGACAGAGCGGCAGTCTACACAGAAATATTTCCCACCCCGCTTAGCGCCCTCTTTGCTAATGCAAATGCTCCCGAGGTGCGAGCGTGCCCATTCCTGATTGGCTGATATTTACAGATGACTTAGGTCATAGTTCATTGATCAGGTTTAAGCAGCAAAACGGGACTTTGAGAAGACCGCTCCCCTTAGCCGCTGAAATAAAACATGCAAAGGCCTGAAGTTCAGCTTGTGGGACCTTCAAGTATTAGTCAATGTTCCTTTGCTGGGATAAAATACCTGATATGCACAATTTAAAGAAACAAAGGTTTATTTTGGCTGATGGTTTCAATCCATGGCAGGCTGGCTACAAACCAAAAACATCCTGGTGGAGGAAGCCTCTCCATTCATGGCATACAGAAAGCAGAAAGCAAGGGAAAACCAGAGGAGCAATCTCCCCTCCAAAGGCTGGGCCCATGTACCTGCTCCAACCAGGGCCCACCTCCTAAGAGCACATTCTACATGGATGGTCCACTGCGGGAGTCAATGCCCTCCTGATCCAGTGGTCTTCTGTGAGACCCATCTCTAAAGACATGCATTTCCTTGAGCACATTTTTGATACACACCAGGAAGACAGGACATGTCTGACAGCCCAACCCCAATAGCCAAGGGCTACCAGACTTCATTCTGAATTTAGGCCCAATTAGTGACCTGGAACTCTTCTTGGACATTCTGCCTTCCTAAAGTTCACACAACTAACTCTTGGAGTTGTTTGTTATATGCAGCATTACCCCAGCCCAAGCTGACTAGGAGACCCCTTTTTTAGGAACTAGGGTGCTGATTTTCTTTAGGAGCTCTGACCCTCTTCCATTCTTCATCTTAGGGTTTGACTGGGCTCTTTCATACCCTGGAGGCATCGCACTGACCAATTCTCATTTCTCCAACTCACAGATTTTGCATGTGGCCTCTGATGAATTCGAAGCAGTTATCAAAGCTGAGGCAGCTTCCTCTCAGCTAGCAGAACTGTTAAACTGTGAACTGTTACCAGAGAGAACTACTCATTAGCCAGACAATCCTGATTCTTGATTGCTTACAACAAAGAGAGAGAACCAGCAGCCTGGGTTGTGGGATAGAAGCGGCCACACTGGGCTGCTTCTCTGATATGAGAAGGAAATCATGGAAATCAATGTTTTATTTTAGGATGCAAAGGACAGAAGTCGCAGACTCCTAAAACTCTACAGGTGATTCTCTGGGCTTTGAGGAAGATCCAGGTCAGTTCTGAATTATTCTTTCATATATGGAGAGATGGCAGCAGCAGGGTGAACACTCCAAAGCACTAGTGAAATCGAGCAGAAGGTACAGAGATTTCACAGACAGCCTCCTGGATGGACACAAACAGCCTCCTGGATGGACGATTCCATCAACAGAGGCCCTCTCCAGTGGTACGTGTGAGAAATGATGTCCCTTCCTTGACTCAGGACCACTGAAGTCCATCGTTTACCTTGGGTTCATTCCCAATGTCTCTGTGAGGTTGTGACAAATGGGTGATGACAAATGTCCACCATCACAGAGGCACTCAGGGCAGTGTCACCACCCTCTGACTCTGGCGCTCAGCTTACAAATTTCTCTGTACCACAAACCCTGGTGTCCACCCATGCTTTGACCGCCTCCATCACTGTGCCTTTTCCAGAATGTCATCCAGTGGGAATCACATGGTACGTGTCAGACTGGTTCCTTCCAAGCCTACAGTTTCTAAAATAAAACAACATGGGTTCTTAATTGTGTGCATGCATGTGTGTGCGTGCATGTGTGTGTGTGCATGTGTGTGCGTGTGTCTCTGAGTAGGACAGTAAGTTTATAGTCTCTCTGTCCCCAGACAGCTGGATCGTATAGGGGTACATGTCAGTCCTGCTGAGTGACAGGAGAGGCTGATTTGGGGTTTAAAACAAGAATCTCCAAAGTAGAAAATTATCTGTGGAAAATCAAGGCCAATCAACAGCCCTCTTTCCCATACCTTCTCTTGCTTCAGTCTTCTACCTGAACCCCACCCAAACCCCAAGTTTTTTCATCCTTCTCAGAGGTCTGAGGATCCTGCCTCCCCCTTCATCCCCCACTGTCCAAGTGGATTATCCCTATCAGTCAGGAAACCAAAATCGTGAACCTATCCCTGAGGTACTCTGATAGGCTGGGGAAAAGGTACCAACTTCAGTAAAATACAATCCCTGCCCTTTGGACGCTCCAACGACGTAATAGTAGTGAGTGATTTGTAAACAAGCTTTCAGTGAGATTGCAAAAAATAGAAACAAGGCAGGTGTAGGAAATATTAGAATGTGGTCTTTTTGAAAGGACTCAAGCCCTGCCCTCAGAGAGGCTGTCTAATTGGTCTGGGCTGAGAATGTTGTTGGAGAGTGTTCAAAGCACTCCCCAGGTGACTCTAATGTTAGCCAGGGCTGAGAAACACCCCAGACAGACAGAGTCAGGGACCTGGGAGGGAGAAGCCCAGCGACCAGGGCTTTTAACAAGCCCCTCGGGTCAGGCTGCTGCAGGCTGAGGTTTGAAAAGCCCTGGTCTGGAGTGCAGACTGGAAGGTTCTGGAAGGCTTGCAGTTGGAGCACAGGACTGAGGGTGAGGGGCTCTTAAACAGGCATCCTCGTCCCCTTTTGCAGACGCGGACAGGGCAGCAGCTCTCTGCTCACACCCCGGGAGGACAGTTTGGAGACCACAGAACCTCCCCAGGGCGCCTGGATTGAGCTGCTGGTCCTGCCTCGCCCCCTGAGCTTCTTAGCACAGGAGATTAGTGCTGCGTTGGGCCACAGTGAATGACCGCACAGGTTTCTCCCTGAGAACCCTCCCTGGCACCTTGTGGCTCTTCACCCTTTACCCCAGAGTGGGCCTCCGCTCTGACGCTGACCCCACCCCTGTAAGCCCTAGACAGGCACTGTGTCCAGCACCATCCCCAAACAGAAACTGCCTCCTCTCCTGCACTTCCGACCCCTTCTCATCCCAGTCACGCCTGACTACCATCAAAGCAGCCCCTTTCCCAGAGCAATCCAATCCTGAACCCCACTGCTGGGCTCTGCCGCTCCCCGCCCCCCAACTCTTCCAGCTGACAGAAAACAGCGCGTCCAGCGGCCTCGTTTCCACTTCGCGGGGGTGGGGTAGGCTGGGGGTGCTCCCCGCGCCACCTCCCCCGCAGGGCGCGACCCCACAGCGGTGCCCAGCGCGGGGACCCCCTGCCAAAGGGGAAGGGGGTGCCAGGACCCAGTCCCCGCTGCAGTCCGCTGTCCTGGGCGCATCCCGGGGAGCTTCCCGGCCGGGAGGGGCCGCGGCCGGCCGCCCGCCAGGCGTCGCCGTGGGTCCCGAGGCTCCTCCCCTGGGGTGGCCGAGCAGGAAGCGGGGCGCGGCGCGGGGCGCGGGGGACGCGCGGGCTCGGCGGGCAGCCCCGGCGCACAGCCGCGGCCGGGCGCGCGGCGCGGGGCGGAAAAGCCTGTTTACACAGCCTGCACACCGCCCGGGGAATAATGCAGTAAAGGAAGTGAGCCGGCTCGGCCTGACTGCTCCAACTTCCTGCTCTCACACACACCAGAGGGGGAAAGGAAAAAAAAGAGGAGCGAGAGAAAGAAAAAAAAGGAGGGGGGATCAGGATCTCATTACAAGAGCAACAGACCGTCTGCAGACGCCTGTCAGCATGGAAAGCCGGGGGCTTTCGCCCGGGTCCTCCTAGAAATTCCCCCGGAGAAGGATCTGAGAGCTCCCCCACATCTGGGTAGGTCGCCGGGCGTCTGCCTGTTGCTGGGACACTTGCAAAGTTTCGTTTGCGGTGGTTTTTGGTTTTTTTTTTTTTTTTTCCTCTCTTCTTTCTTTTGGGTGGCTTGGTGGGGGTGGGGCGGGGGCGCGCGGAGTGGGTGGGTGCGGGAGGCGCGTCCGCGCGGGAGGGGACGCGGGACGCAGCCGCCACCTCCACCGTCACTGGGGTCACCGCCGATCGCGCCGGGGCCGGGGCTGCGCCGCGAGCCTGGGGAGGGGACCCCGCGGCGGGCGGAGCTGGAGACGGCGCGGCGTGGGTCCCTGGGACGCGGGGACCGTGAGGCGAGCGGGCTGCGCACCTGGAGGCTGCACTGCGCTGACCTCCGGGGGGGCTGCGGCCGGTTCCCCTCGCGAGGTGGGCAGGGGGCGCCGACGCTGGCGTCCAGGGAGGGAGACAGCGATGGAGGAGGAGGTGGAGGGCGTGGGGCGGGAGGCTGCGTCCACTCTTGCGAGGCAGGTGACCCGCGTCCAGGTTACCGCCCCAGGCGCACGCCCAGTCCAACCACCTCGCCAAGCCGGTGCTGGACCAAAGTTGGGGGAAAGAGCCGGCTGGAGATGACCGTCGGGCTCCGGCCCCTTTAACTTCAGGCTGAATGTTGGCCTGGGCTGCTACTGTAACTTTTCTTGGGGAGGGGGTTGGTTCCTATATGGGGACGTACAAAGTAAAAATAAAAGAGTCTCGGTTTAGTTGTGTTTTCTGAACCAAATCATGCGGGGGACAAGCTCTTGTTAGGTGGCGGGTGGGGGTGGGAGCCAGAAATGCTATTTCAGAAACTGCAAAAGGGGCTTTTTAGAAAAAAAAAAAACGAGTGTCGGGAGAGTTTCTGGCTTGTCTGGAAACGGCAAGACTAATTGCCATGCGCTTCCGCTTTGAAACTGGCAGCAGACAGCATCTTGAAAATGACTCACTAGAGGAGCTCACAAAGAAACTGTGGTTTGCTCCTTCCCAGGTTTATGTATTTGTGCCTTTTACAGTTTCCTTTGTAGTGTTCGAGGGTCCCCCGCCCCTTCCTCGCCAGCCCACTCCTGTCCTCCCCGCTTTGAAAGCCCCTGGCCGGTCTTTAACCACCCCCTCCAGACCCCCAGCCCCGAGGCGAGGGGCAGACCGGAGGGGGAGGCCGAGTTGTTTTTGGAGTTGGCTGGGGAGAGGGTTAAAGGGATTCTGCTGCTGCAGGGGGAAAAAGTTCCCTGAATTTTCCACTGGCTGCTGCAGGAAGAGAGAGCCCCTTTAGTCATTGCTAAGTAATGTCTGCACACACACCAACTAATCTCATTAGGAGTTTCCGCTGCTCCGCACAGGAGGGGTTTTGTGCAGCCGCTGTCAGCCTGGGGAGCCCAGCGCTGCACAGGGAGACAAGTTACTGCCTTATTTACTCCGAGGTGCCTTTTTCCGCCCCCACGAGCCTTTCTAGGGCAGCGTCTCAAAAACTTTCAAGTCACTTGGGCCATTTTGGATTTCAAGCTTACAGGTTTTTCTTTGTGTGTGTGTGTGTGCGCGCGCGCGTGCGTGCATGTGTATGTGTGTGTGCATGTATGTGTGTGCGTGTGTGTGGTTTCTGTTGCCCAGGCAGCTCACACGCACACCCATCCCCTCTCATCTGTGCTTTGTCTTTGTTTTTGTTTTTGTTTTTCCGTGGTGGTGGTGGTGGTGGGATATCTGAGAAACCTGCCATGTTCCGGGCATCTATTAATGAGCCTAAATTGATTTCTGAGCCTTACTGCCCAACAGAATACCCCCTGATCCCTCGCCTTTTCTCTCGCTCAGTAGCACACACTTATTTGGAAAAGGTCAGTTATGAGTTTGAATTTATGAGGATTATAAAATCACAAATTGTGTTAGGAGGGCATGAGGTCAGACAGTTAAGGAGACTGTCCATAAGTGTTCTTGGGGTTTCCAGTAACAATCTTGCACACAAAACCCCCTGTGCAGGAAAAGTGATGGCCTTTCTATGCCAAATATAGCACAGGCCTCTGGCCTTTTTTTTTTGGTTTTTAGCCTTTAACTGTTGCCTAGAAATGTGTGGAGCTGCTGAAAAGGGCGGCGTTGTAAAGAACCCTATTGGTACAGTGAGGCCCCTCGATTGATCGGCTGACAGATTGCCTCTTTTGAGAGTGTTGGTATTTCTTGTACACTGCTAAAGGGTACCCCCAAATAGCCCAGCCAAGCCCCAGCAGGCGGTGAGTCCCTGAGCAGATGCTCAGCAAATTGTTGCATCAGAACTGTGATCAGGCTAGCAAGATGTTGAAGAGGTGAGAAAAAGCTTCCAAGGGTGGACAGCATTCTGCAGGCCTTCCCTTAAGATTGGAAGGCGTACATTTCCTTTGATTAAAAAAGGAGGTGCTTAGAGCTCCTCATTCCAACAGGTTATCTCTTGGGAGGCATGAGGTTCATTATACCTGTGGTTCTCAAAACAGAGTAATTTTGGCTACCAGTAGATGATACGGGTTGTCACTCTAGAGAACATGCTACTGGCCTGTAGTGGGTGGAGGTAGGGAAGTCACTAGAGGTCTGATGACACCCAGGCAAGCCCCCTGTGAAGAATTTCCCTGCCCTACATGTGGGTAGTGCCCAGGGGGAAACTCCTGTGTTGACCTTAATCATGGTGATAGAAGGCCTTCCAATGCCTTCATCCAGCAGACAGGCATTTAAAAGTCCTCCGTTGCCCTTTCGTTGGGAGGGGATGCAAATGTGTAAAAACCATTTACGAATTTCCATCCTGTCTTTGGTTGGTGGTGTGCAGTGGAATGACATGCAAGTGCTGACCCCATGGCCGTGGCCCCAAATTCATCCCAAGCCCAGCTGCGCCATGACAGCATCTTCACACACTTAATACCAGTACCTTCCAGGCCCAATAGCAATAGCCCAGGTTAGGGAGAGCAGCGCATGTCCAGCCACATCTGAATTTTGAAGTTACCTGAACATTGATTAAAGACCTTCTTTTTCCTCTTAAAAGATTAAATAATTCAAAACTGCTAGTATACAGTAAATGTACGCCTGAGATCACATTCAAAGTTATATTTGTGATAACTTTTGGAAACTTGAATCTTTCCCTGAAATTGCTTTTCAAGGACTTCCAGGCAGTGTGTATAAATTATAATATTCTTCTTCAGCTATCAGATATTGGATTTTGTGTGTTCTATGCTACCCAATTATGCTTCTGTATCTGTCTGATGCAGATCATCAATATGGTGCCGTGAGGTTTACCAAGCTAGGCCTGGTGGCAGACCCAAAGCACGAAAGAAAAAAAAATCGTCCAGTGAGGAGCCTTCCTGGTGTAGTCTTTTATTTGTTTGTTTGTTTGTTTTACTGAGGTTGAATTAGTAGCATTACTGATTGATGCCTTTGCTTCCTTCCAGGCCTAGAGAATGACCTGGTGACCTCCATGATTCCTAGACTTGGGGTTCCTCAGTGCCTTTTAAAAGCAGTAGACTCTGTGCTCATTTGGATTTTGCTTTCCTGACCCCCTTCCTAAGGGCCTGCCTTTACCCACCCCCTGGCATGGGGGGATGGCCAGGCTTGTCAGACTTTTGTGTATGTTCCAGGCAAAATTTTCATGTCATAATTATCTATAATTCCTCTTTCCTTTTGCAGATTGATTATGACATAATAGCCTAAAGGTATTTTCTAAAGGTTAGTTGTTTTGTTTTTCTGTTGTGAAAAATACTAACACAGATTGCCTTAGGAAACTACAGAAAAACTGCAATGAAAAAGAAAATAAACATCTCTCATAATCCTACTGTTGACATCCTGATGTATATTTTTGCAGTCTTTTAAGACGCATATGTGTATATACCTACATGTAGGAACATGCACACATAAAATTTTTATTTGGAATCACACTGTACTTTCTGTTTTGTAACTTATTTTCACTTAACATATCATGTAACACATTTTAACAAGGAGAACTGAGGCCCAAATTACCGCACATAGAGCTTGTATTTATTGATCTCATAAATGTGTTGACTCAACGATGGATTGACATAATTTCTACACGGACTTGCTTGGTATTTTTGTTCCCTGTGGTTTAGTAATGTTCCAAAAATGCTGCCGCTCAAGACTGAGTTCCTATGTGCTGTGAAATTAGGGATTTTGATGAGTTTCTCTATGATTTAAGAATGAGTCATGATTTGCAGTAGAATATCAAGATGTAGTAACAGGAAGTGTTAGGGTGCTACACATCAAAATAGAATGTAAAAGAAAAAGAGAGCAGGTTCAATCAAAGATACACCTTGACATTGTCACACTGGGGAGGGAGAGGAAGGTGTGTTTTGTGCTTTTAGACAAATAGCTGTTATTATTACTATTTTATTTTGTATCAGTAGTTTCCAGTTTTGAAATTGGTGTTTCAAATTGATTTCTAGCTCAAGGCAGCTATTGCCCACGGCCACTTCGAATTGAGATCAGTTAACTTTTTGATTGAGACCATGAAAACTCTGGTTTTTGCCACTTATAATGCAGTCCTGGTAAACTGAATTATCTGTATGTCTGTGTTTAACCTTCCACAAATAACTTCTAAAGGCCTTTAAAAATAGTGCATTATTCAGTCTTTTATGAAACTATTCTTTGCAGAAATTTGACTCTTTATGATTGCTACCATCAACCAAAAGAAAAATAGTCTTTCCCTTGTGCCTAGAAATTTACATACAGATTAACAGTTTTCAAATAAATTTTGAATTGGTTGTTTTGATAAACTGTGATTTAGTTTGAATTGCCACGGGGATGAATATTATGACTACTTTCTTGATATATTGATTTAAATTTCCTGGAAAGTAATTACCAAATTATTTAGACTTAAGTAGAATTATTTTATAATTTGGTTGAGAGATTTACTTGTATATTTTTGGAGAAATGGAAATGATGGTTCTATTAGTACATTCTAATTTGAATTGGACTAAGATGAGTTTATTCATGTAATCAAAAATAGAATAAAAAATGAGATCAAAGGCTCATAGTGTCAT